ATAATAAATATATCTTTATATAGTATATATAAAAGGAGAAAAAGAGAGAAAAAATGCAAAGAGATAAAAAAATTTGAAGCATTAGAAATGAATTTTACGCAAAATAAATATTTATCAGTCACATCCTCTTACAATTCGCTTATTCTTTACATAGTTGATTCCTTGAGAACAAGAGTCTATTAAAAGAAATTAGAAATTCAATAGTGAATTGTATGTACTTTATCAATACATAGCGGGAGAAAGTATATACTAGCAGTTATATCTGGAAAGCAATATAAACACGTATAATAAAAAATATGTTTATTGTTATAACGCAATAATTCCAGAGTCTGCATCTCCTCTCGTCCAAATAAGGCAAGATCGAATTTAGCGTAGGTGATGCACGAGAGTTCAGGTTTGAAATATTTGAAAAAAAGAACACTGGATATTATCGTCATTTAAAAAAAATACGTTTAAACATTAACACACAAATAATTTATCTGGCATAATTTAATCGTTAAAAATTAACAAATAAGAGTTGCAAATCAATGCTTCGCACATTATTGTAATTTTGCCGCGTGAAAATGTTAGCAACACGGATTGCGTCATAATTTTACCTAAAGAAGTGTTTAAGTGAGTAAAATGAAGAAATAAAGCGTGTAGACCATGAACCGTATAGACCATATGAAATACAACCTCTTACATGCTTTTAAAAAATTATACGTGTGCGCATGTGTATTATATATTTATCAAAATTAATCAACATTTTTTAAATTTTATTTAAATAACGTGGACTAGAGTAGAGTAGAGTATATTATCAGACTCAATACTGTCGCGCAACCGGTTGCCTACTTCATAGCGGCCCAAAACAAGGACCACTCTCTGAAATTTATTTCGTGAGTCCTGAAATGTCCTGAATCCTATATACTGTATTCCAGAGAAATTTTTGAACTCTCGTGCCGAATTGGAAAAAGCAACAGATATTTGGTAAAAAAGAATAAAATAAAATTACAAATTTTCGGATTGTACAGAGATATCTCTATCAAAGTTATCCAACAATATACATCCTTGTTCTAGACGTCCATTTTTTAAATTTAGTTACACATAATATATATATATATA